GGGGGGGGGGGGGGGGAGCAGAGAGAGAGGGAGACACAGAATCGGAAACAGGCTCCAGGCTCTGAGCCATCAGCCCAGAGCCCGACGTGGGGCTCGAACCCACGGACCGCGAGATCGTGACCTGAGCTGAAGTCAGACGCTCAACCGACTGCGCCACCCAGGTGCCCCTAAAATAGTTTTTTAAAACCTTTTCTATTTTTATATTTATTTATTTATTTATTTATTTATTTATTTTAACATTTATTTATTTTTGAGACAGAGAGAGACAGAGCATGAACGGGGGAGGGGCAGAGAGAGAGGGAGACACAGAATCGGAAGCGGGCTCCAAGCTCTGAGCCATCAGCCCAGAGCCTGATGTGGGGCTCGAACTCACGGACCGTGGGATCGTGACCTGAGCTGAAGTCGGACGCTTAACCGACTGAGCCACCCAGGTGCCCCCTTAAAACCTTTTTAAAAAAAGTTTATTTATTTATTCTGAGAGAAAGAAAGGGAGAGAAATTGCGAGCAAGCAGGGAAGGCGCAGAGAAAGAGAGAGAGAGGTTGAATCCCAAGCAGGCTCCACAATGTCAGCGCAGAGCCTGACGCGGGGGTTGAACTGCAAGATCATGACCTGAGGTGAAACTAGAGTCAGATGCTGAACCAACTGAGCCACCCAGGTACCCCTGAAATACAGTTTCCTTGGGAGAGGTCTCCTTAACTCTCTGGTGATTTTCTCCCTGTATCTTTGCTCTTTAGCTGAATTTCTCTCTGAAAGAAAAGCTGAATTTCTCTCTGGAAGAAAAACTGAAAGGAATTCTGTACTGCATTTTAAAAAAGTTTTTTAAAAATGTTTATTTTTGAGACAGAGAGAGAGAGAGAGAGAAAGTGGAGGAGGGGCAGACAGAGAGGGGGACCCAGAATCCCAAGCAGGCTCCAGACTCTGAGCTGTCAGCACAGAGCCCGATGTGGGGCTTGAACCACGAACCGTGAGATGGTGACCTGAGCCGAAGTTGGACGCTCAACCGACTGAGCCACCCAGGTGCCCCAGGAATTCTGTACTGCATTTTAATACGTTTCTATTACAGTGGACTCGAGCTGCTATTAAAATATGAGACTGTTTTTTAATCTGGAGTTCCTTGGTAAATTCTTTTAAATTAAGGCTTCTTAACATAACCCTGTACCATTGGATGTGTTGCTATTTACTTGAAAATGTATCCAGAGGCTACAAGCAATGAGTTTACCCAGTGACAGCAGCTAGTCCTTAAATAATCCCCCCTGAGTACACCAGTTAATGCATAGGTTTTCCACACACTTGGCAGGATTGTAATATCAGCCAACACCCTAGATCACAAAGTAGCAGAAGGAGTCTATATTAACAAAGAAATTGCTACCAACAGAAATACATAGACAATGAATGTTGCATTTAATAATTTGAAAAGTGAACCCAAATACTCAGTGTCCATGTGTTTAATGCCAAGGCTATTATGTTTCATTGGGACATATACATTTGTTTGAAAAATCACCTTTCAAATATCAAAATTATCCGGTCACTCTTCTCCAGGGTAGTTGATTTCCTTGGCTGCTGAAATAAAAGGCTATTAGCATGTGCAATCTGTGTTTAGTGTGTTGTAGGTGTCTCCTTGATCATTTATATGCTGTTGCTTCTTCAGCAGCTCCCCTTGACCTCCAGTGCCCAGTCACCTCTGTCTATTTATCCCCTCATCTGAAACAAACTCAAATTAAATCTCAGTTGGCAAAATCTCTCTCCATACGTATAGCCAACACTGACCTCAACCTGTCTTCTTCCTCACTGGAAATGGTAATGAGTTGCTCTTTGGATAAATTCTTAGTCCATTTTTCCTTCCCTTGTGAATATTCCAATGAGCCATTTTTTTTTTTTAATTGCACATGTAGAACACAAGGATATTTTTCTAATCATGCACTTATATGGCACAAAATAAAACATTTAAAATCTCATTAAGCCCCAATTTCTTTGAGGAAATAAAGGTCATAAAACTAACCTGTCACAAGAAGGAAAATAACAGATTTGCTCTTGAAGTTTCCTGGTGCCAGGGTGAAGAAATGGGCTCTGAATCCTTGTCTCCTCTGAAGACTACTGACTTCTTCTTTGCTCTTTTCTATACTGAGGAGCCCGTCAAGGTGAGTTTTATGCGATGGCTAATTTGCAAAAACTCCTCCTCTTGTCTCTCCCCCTTCCACCTGGATTCTAAAGTTGGGGTTCGGGTAAGAAACTGTCATGATGTCAAATTTTTCTAAACATAGTCATTGTGTTGGTTTCACAAAGTCTGATTAAATCAAAGGTAAGAAGGAGCCTGGAAGCAAGTTCATTTAGACAGTATACAGTTTGGAAATTGATCTATAGTGAAACTCAGCAAACATGGGGAAACATTTCATCTCCTGGGATGATAGATAATTAATTTACACATATTTCTTCTTTTTAATTAATTAATTTTTATCGATTTATTTTTATTTTTAACTTTTTTTCTAAATATAATTTATGGTCAAGTTAGCTAATATACAATGTATACAGTGTGCTCTTGGTTTCAGGAGTAGTTCCCATGATTTATTGTTTACCTACAACACCCAGTGCTCATTATAATAGCCACGTTGTGGAAAGAGCCCAAATGTCCATCAACTGATGAACATTTGATGTGGTTTATATATACAATGGACCTAGTTTTTGTTTTAGAGAGAGAAAGAATGTGGGCAGAGAAGAGGGGCAGAGGGAGAGAGAGAGAGAGAGAGAGAGAGAGAGAGAGAGAGAGAGAGAATATCAAGCAGAGTCCACACTCAGCATGGAGCTCAATGTAGGCTTGATCCCACCATCTTGGGATAATGACCTGAGCAGAAATCAAGAGTCTCACACTAAACTTACTGAGCCACCCAGGTGCCCCGAATACAAACGCATTTCATTTGATAGAGGATCATCACCAAATTTAGAATAGGGAATGGGAGCCATTGACCAAAAACATAACTCGTACATAATTTTGTACCCATTTCTGACATTTCTTTAAGGTAAATTCCTACAACTGCAATGGCTGAGTCAAAGGGCATTTGAAGAAGTTTTTCAGATCTTTGATGTATTGGTTCTAATAAAGATTCAAGCGGTTTCATTATAATTTAAAATGTTTGAAGATACCCTTTCCTTCCTCCTTGTTAATTACATAAATATTCTATTTTCTTAATGAAATCTGCCATTCTTTGAATATCAGTGAGTCTAAACTCTGTTCATTTATTTTTGGTCCATTTGTATTTTTCTTCACTGAGTTTGATGGATGTCATTTTTACATGTTTCTATTCTT